GTTTCTCTCAACTAATATATGACAGAGACCGGTTTCCGATCTGGCCAGCCTAGCTCCTGAGCCTCCCCACCCTGTGTATGTGTGTGTGTGTGTGTGTGTGTGTGTGAGAGAGAGAGAGAGAGAGAGAGAGAGAGAGAGAGAGAGAGAGAGAGTTACCCTCTTCCCTTTGGCTCCATAGCAGATCTATCTGTCCCAGTAGTCTGTAAGGAATCACAGGGTACCATGGATGGCTAGAAGGCCTAGGAAAGCAGGTCAGTCTACAGAGTCCTTCTTTAGACCTCCCAGACCGAAGCCCTGGCCTATAGCTACTTAGATAGAATGAGACAGACTTTGGGCAAGGGAGACTGGCAGCCACATCCTGGGCTGTTCAGACACCCCCAGACTGGAAAACATCCTTTGGGGGGGAAAATGAGGACATGAAACCTCTTGCTACGGTACCTATCACTCTGCTAAGGACAGTGAAAACACAGTCTGTCATACTTGACATTTTAATTGGGAGAAAAGCTTACATAGATTGCAGCCGTAAGCGGTGTGTTTATACAAGTGCATAAAGAGGAGTAATCTGTCAAGTTGGAAAACTCCTAATGCGGCCTCAGTTCAGTAATTGAACAATCCAACATGAGCTCACACATTTACCTTGTTCCATGCCTCAATAATTTTTAGTAGAAATACTTTACCTAGAGGCATATGGTTATTAAAAAGGAGGCTCAGCTTGCTCAAAGTCTGGAATTACTAGCTCATGGCAACAAGCCTGCACTGGAGGAAAGACTGTCGGGGCTTTGTTTTCTCAACTCCACTGCTTTCTTGCCATCTGATTTGCAGAATTTAATTGATGTGTTGTTGAGAAGATTTTTCATCTATTTAAAAAAACAACCAAGAAAATAGAATTTCACATTGGTGAATGACCTCTCATGTTAGCAGTATCCTGGAATTTCACTACTTAGTGGTGAGTACAGAGAGTGATGTGAACATCAAAAGGAATGGACCATGAATTTATTTTATCATAAAAATCAATAATAACTTAGTTACAGGAACCACGGAGGTGTGAGGGAAGGGAGGCTCTACTCCCTTCCATGATGCGTGTGACTGTGGACAATTGAGAACTGTATCTAAATTCAGTTTACTCCGGGGAGTACGGGGGAATAACATGACCCTACTGTACTGCATAGCTTCAGGTCGCATGAAACTGGGACATGAAAACATTTTGAAAATTACTTGAAAATAGCAACTTAAACATAGGAAGTTTTATTCCAGAGTTTATAGATTAAATACAAAATTAATTAATTAATACATGCAAAGGGAATGAGATGATGCCTGCAACTCCTCTGGCTTCAGTGGTGTGAATAGCCTGGATAAATGGATGGTTTCTTTGGACCTATTGACAGGGACAATTCTTCATATGTTTGTTGTGCAGGGCTTAACTCAGGTTCTCACCCTTGCTAAGCACACTGCGCCCACCAAAGCACATTCCCAGCCCTGTTTATTCTGTAAGGCATGATGGCTACATACAGATCTTACTGTTTTCACTCTTTATAGTCAAGTAAAGAACCCAAAAACTCTGTTCGTTTGGTAGAACAGTCTGAGGAGCTAATTCATAAAATCTATAGAAAACAATAACGTGGAAATTGTTCATGTTTCAAGCAAACAGGCATCTTGAGTAGTCTTATTTCCTTCCAAGCGTACATTGCTAACCGGGCTGATTGGCATCTCTTGGAAACTCTTCTGATCCCTGGGGAGCCAGGTACCCTGAAAGGCCCTCTTAAGTAAAGAGGAAATACTTGATATTTTAAAATCTAGTAGATCTATGCAGGGTGTGGAAATAACTAACCTAATTACTGGATTAAATGAAATATTCCGCTCCCTAGTGATTCAATACACTCGGGAGTTTCCAGCCTTCGGAGCAGAGTGAAAACTCATTTTAAATTGAATTACTTTGCTATTTCCATTCATATCCATTGGATTGTTTAATTAAGTTCCTTCTTTAAAAAAAAATCACACACACCAATACCATCTGGTGACTAAGTTCGTTTTTTAACATTATCAGGTTAGAGACGGAAGGTAAATGGTGGTGATACACGTTCTGCCCGCTGCTCTTGAGCACGATCTTGCAGGCCGATGCCACACATAGAGAGATTTCAACTGTCTTCCTCTTAAGGGTTTTTGTTTTCTCGGAGCAGCACTTGGAGCTTCCTCCTAGTGACCAACACTTGGTGACAGATGATGTCCACACATGTGTAGACTTGTTTGGATAGGCTTCTACTGGGGCAGACAGAGCTGGTTGACAGGCTTTGTAGAGAGTTTGCTCTTGGTGAATGTTGCCTCTTCTGAAGCTGTAACTCAGATGATGAACTTTGGACCTGAGGGAACTACTAATGAATTGTTTTTTATAAGAGAATTATTTATTTTAATTTTATGTGTAAGAGTGTTTTTTTTTTTCCTGAATATATGTATGGGCACCATATGTGTGCCTGCTGTTCAAGGAAGCCAATATTGAGGGAGGGTATCAGATGCCCTGGGACTGGAATTCGGATGATTGTGATCCTCCATGAGGGTATGGGAATTAAACCAGGGTCCCCTGAAAGATCAATGAGTAATTTTCCCCACTGAGCCACCTCCCCAGCATCAAGTAACTGTTCAACATGCAACTCTTTTCAGCAAAGTTCCCAAACAAATATCAAAATGGGGACTTCAAACAAGTGTCGTTTGTTGACCAGGTTCCATTCTGTACCTCTTGGGTTCTGCTAACCCCCTCTAAAGAGACTTAGTGAGGGAGTAAAGTCATAACCTCAGTCAACAGTGGTTCTCATCCTTCTTAATGCCGAGACCCCTTAATCCAGCTCCTCATGTTGGGGTGACTCCCGCCCATTACATTATTTCATTGCTGCTTCAGAACTGTATTTCTGCTACTGTTATGAACTGTAATGTGAGTATCTGATCTGCAGGATAGTCTTTGATGACCCTGTGAAAAGGTCATTCAGTCCCCAAAGGCATTACCACCCACTGGTTTAGAACTGTTGTCCTGTAGTGTTTGGGGACAGCTAGACCCCCAAAGCCTGATGAAACCATGGAAGCCCAAGGACATTCACACCTAATCTAGTCCCCGTGGTCGGGTCTACTCTGCAGAGGTCCACAAGGCACATGTTAAGAAATAGCCTTAGTGATATATTTGAAAATATTCAGTCCATTGCTGTAAGCTTCCTATGCTAACCTACTTCGGCTTCTTCTCACTCAAACCCTATTAGTGCAGCCCTGCACATCCGTGCAACCTCTGTGCTGTGCTTTGTCTGCCTTTGTCTTCATATATGTACCTCCCTGTGCATTTCAGTCGTGACTAACTCCTGACTAATCTTTCCAGGGCGCCCACAACCGTGATAAACAGCTATATTTTCAAAGAGAGCTCTCGGGCAAAAACAGTGGAAAACTTAATCTTCTTTGGAATTTTAACAGCCATGCGAAGGAAGAGCCTGCTGGCACTCTTGTCCCATCTCGGCCCCTGATTCTCTTTGAGTCACTAAGTCACCAGAACTTCGTGGAAGAGTAGCTGCTTCCACTGCTCAGCTGTGACCCTAAACGGAGCTGTAGCATTCTGTCGGTTCCGCACAGTGCCTCGGTGCTGTGATGGGATTCTGGACTGGGTGTGGCACTCCGTTGAGGCTCTCATGGTACCATCATGTTCTCCCAAGGCTGCAGACAGTGCCAAGCCTGCCAGGGCTTTGGATAGGTTCATGGGGGCTCTCTGGACTGTGCTGCCATGCTGTTGCTAGGATGCCCGGGTTAAACTCTAGCCAAAGCCTTGTGCTGTCCTGGGACTGTGGAGGGACCAAGGTTCTCCATTGTTGAAGGAAGGCTGTGGCCTACACAGAACCCCTTTAACTGTAACCTTACCCAGGTTTTGGCAGAAGGAATCACATGTTTTATTATCTCTAAGTGTCAGAAATCTTTAATAAATAAATAAATAAATTTAAAAAAAAAAAAGAAAACTCACCGATTCTGGAAGTGGGACATATAGGATTAAAGGATTGAATGTAGAAGACTTAGGGTCTTTTCTGTTTGCCATTTACTTTAATTTCGTGACTTGATGTCTATCCAGTCAGAGAGCAGACATACAAGGAGATTGCCACAAGGTCACTTGTTTGCTATTTTTAATAAACACAAATAACTCCCTTTTCCCCTCAGCTCCACATTCCTTGGCTCATTAAATCAATTTCAGGTTCTTAATTTTTTTTTTTTTTTTTTGGCAAGTTGAAGTGAAATTTTCAAACTATGCACTCCCCTGGGAAATGCTGACTCGAATCCTGCGTATCAGGTCCAAATCAGTTTCTGTCAAGCAGCCTAACACCTCACATTATTATGAAATGAGAGATTGGTAATAGGGGGCTGAACTCTGGACTTCTCTAAGAAAGGCTGAGTTCAGTGCCAAGCCCTGTGGTCCAGCTGCATTTGTTTGTGCCCTAACTTTGTTTTTTTCCACTCATAGTAGAACTATAAAAAAAAAAGTCAAAAGTATTTCTGCCAGGAACACATGAATGGAGCTTGCTCTGTTACTGTGGAATGAACTTGGACCTGGAGCAAAGTCAGGCAAGCTTTAGGGCAAAGGCGTGTGCTAAAATACCAGTGTACCCAGATCCTCAACACTGAGACACTCCAGAGGCTGAGCCTGGAATAAACTGGGCAGTCTGCTACAGAGTTTCTTGCTTAGACGCAGAAGCCATTGGAGACACACCAGCATGTTTCCAATGAACATCAGTTAGATAACGGGTCAGGAAATGAAGTAGAATTTGATGTATTAACTAGGAAGCAGCAAAGGAAACCAGGCATGTATTTTATGTGTTATTATTTCCCTAATATCCTCAATTATGTGGCTCTCCCATCAGAGGATCTGATCTGTTTGCCTGTGATGTCGGTGTCCCCGTTGGTTTTGGATGCTGGGTAACAGATCCAGGCCATCAGGAATAATGTGTTGTTTTTGTTTTTTGTTTTTTGTTTCTCTTTGTCCCCAGGCCTGTCCCAGGCTCTCTATCATCTCTGCTCCATCTCCACAACAGACAGAGGCAGCCCATGCCGGCCTCCATGCCTGGGACCCTGCCCAACCCCACCATGCCAGGATCTTCTGCCGTCTTGATGCCCGTAAGCATTTTTGAGTGGGGGGAGCTTATAGTGATTCCCCATTAGTACTGAGGCTCTGGAGAGAAAAGTAGATGCTGAGATCTGAGCTTTCGGGGAAGAAGTCAGTGGCCTCTGAGTGCGTTGGAGCTGTGGGTCAGATTGCACCTTGTAGTCAGGTGCCCACCCATAGGCCTTTCCGGCCCTTTGGGGCTTTTCTGTGAAGCAGGGTCTATTCCACCTGTCGGTGGCAAGTGAGCCTGCCACACCCAAGGAATTTAATTTGTTCAGAAAGGTACTGTTTTATAGCCATAGTCAGCCCTCTACCAGTGATTCCACACTCACAATTCAGCCAACCTTGGACTGAAAATATTATTTAAAATGCATATTTTTGAATACCTACAGACTTTTCTGCTTGTTATTATTCCTCAAACTTGTTTTAGCAACTTTTTACAGAATATTGCTATTGTGTTAGATAGTGCAATATAATACAGAATAAATGAGAGGGATATGCAGATTATATGCAAATTGTGTACAAGGGACTTGAACAGTCAGTTTTGGGTACCAAAGCAGAGGCTGGTGTTCTAGTGCTAATTTCCAAGGATACCAAGGGTTGACTGCAGTTCTGTGTCCTCATCATGAATCATATCCAGGGGCATTCAATGGATAGTGATGGTTCTAGACAGAACCCAGGGCACTGATGAAATGATCACGTGTGCTAGCTGGTAATCTGTATTCATGCACATCACGTTCTATAAATGGCAGCAATTTCCAGGTGCTTGTTACATGCACTTTGTCAGCACATGAAACGGCCCTGCAAGGAGGTCTATAGTGGTCCCCACTTCTTTTGAAAGAAGGAAGTTAGGTCAGTGACTTATTCATCCGAGAAGCAGAGATTTGGATTCTGAACTCAGGAATCCTGGCTCCAAAGTCTGCTCTTTCAACTACCAAGTGATGGGTGCTTTCTCTTTTCCTTCCCAGCACATCACTGAGGGACAAACTTGTATACTGGTTGTCACAGATGAGAAAGTGGGGACCCCCAGGGTTCTGCCTCCTGGCTAAGGGTATACATCTGGTGGGTGATAGTCAAGATCTAAATCTAAGAGTCTGACTCCTGACTTGTTGTTGATTTTTGTTTGAAATACGGTCTCACTGTGCAGTTCAGGTTGGCCTTGAGCTCTCTTCTTGACTCTTGGTGCTGGGTCACAAGGCATGTGCATTACACCTGACCTCAAGAGTTTCCACAATCAGCGTGTACTATGCATGCTCTATATACTGCCTCCCTTCTGCATGGGGAGACAGAGGGGAGCAGAGGAAGACTTGCCCTCTTCTAGGACTCTCTCTTTCCACCTGCCTCACTGTTCCTCGCATTAAGCTTTAATAAACAGGACCACAGGAACTCTTGAAAGCCCTAGAAGCAGGCTGACAACCCCAGTTAGCAACCCTCCCACAACACACTGAGCATGACCCTTTTAGCATCTTAGGGTGTTGTCAACCGGATTGTGCCACTTTGTGCTCATGGTAACCCCAAGGGGATTCGGTCCCTGCAATTTCTGAAAAGTCCACTTTCGGGTGAAGAGCTAGAGGGTAGGCAGTTGAAGGCTTAAGGTCAAAATCAATATCGTGTGTGAGTGAAGATTGTGAGTGGAACCCAGATCTCACTTCATACCAAGCTGCTCAGATTATCTCCTATTGAACCATTGGCTCAGTTAGTGGGGTAGGCTGAGGAACAGAAAAGATCGTGTGAACTGAGTTCAGACAAATGGACCTGCCCACTACAAATGCTTGGTGGTCCCGGCTGAAAACCCATCATACACTCTAGCTAGAGGATAGATGGAGGGTCAGATTATTTCCCCTGGACTGGTTGACCAAAGAGAACAGCACTATTAATACAGAAATCCCTGCTTTCATTCAGTTCAAATTTCATGGAGATTTTGACCACAGGCTGTCCTCACTCAGCTGCTACGTCCCACTTGCCCAAAGTAATTTTCTTCTCAGTATTTCCACACAATACCTAGAAAAATGCCACTCCAGAGATCCTTTGTTTCTATGTAGTTAAGCTGTCATTTCCAGGATGAGATGGGAGCTGAAAACCCTGAAAACCTAGCACCCCTCTTTCTACTTTACCCTATACCCACTTGACCCACTGCTAATGCTTTAGGATAGAAAGAAGCAGAAGATTCAGGTGAATGGTCAAAAACCAATGTAAACAAAAAGCCAGGAGCATGGCCCCTGCAGAAGTTCCCAAACCATAGTCCATGGCGGAATACAGCTATCCTGGCGGCAGGTGTCATGCAGAGCAGTGATGAACAGTAAGGGTGGGAGGGTCATCTTGCCCCTCAGGGGAATAGTAGGCAATGTCTGGAGAGAGTGTTGGTGTCACAGCAGGAATGGAGAGCCGAGTATGGTCGGAGTGTAGTGGAGAGGAGCTAAGGATACCGTCAAGTGTCTCACAATATACAGAACACTCCCACAACACAGAAGTGTTTGACTCAAAGTATCAATAGTGCTGTGCTTCGGGAATGCCGAAGTCATTCACGAAAATCCAAGTCAAACCTCAAAGAAATATTCCCAGGATCCCCAGACCCTTGAAATCCAGGTTCTTCTTCGTTAGTCATGTTACCAGCTCCTGTGCTGTGACTCTGTCTTCTGGACTGTCAGTCAAGGGTGCTCCTTCCCTGAGAGTCCATGCCTTGGGAGATCTCAAGGAACCAGGCATCCAAATTGAAATTAGGTGAAGGTGGGATTCTTAATTGTTTCACGATGGCATGCTTCCAGGCCACGCCCTTCACAAAAGCTAGATCCAAAGTACATGACCAATCTGTCTGCTTGTCTGTCTATCTATCTATCTATCTATCTATCTATCTATCTATCTATCTATCTATCTATCTATCTACTTATCTATCTATGTACTTATCTATCTATCTATCTATCTATCTATCTATCTATCTATCTATCATCTATCTAATTACCTACTTATCTATCTATCTACTTATCTATCTATGTACTTATCTATCTATCTACCTATTTATCTATCTATTATCTATCTATTCTTTCTTTCATTCATGCTGCACACTTCCTGTGCGCCAGAAACTGCTAGATGCTAAGGCTCCACCAGGGAGTACAAGGCAGGTGTTGCCTTCAGGGACTTCCCAAGTAGTGATTTCTTATTATCTTGAAAGTCAAATGGCTCCACAATTTGGGGAAATGGGCACCCATTTATCATTATAAGAGCTTCCTAACCTGTGGATACTCCAGGTCTTGCTTTCCAGAGTGAGAAGAGAGGGAATCCTTCATATGGGTGTTTTTGTGCAACTGGAGATGGGAACCCAGGCCTCCTCATGTTTAGGGGGCTCTCTACCACTGAGCAACACCCTAACCCTTGCTGAGTCACTTAGTCACAGTGATAAACACTGTGGGGCATTCAGCAAGGCCATTCTGTTCCTGTCAGCTCTCTAAAGTCAGGCTGTGGTGCAGGCAGGCCACTGGCCCAGCAAAGCTCCGGGTGCTTGCTGTCAGGTGACGCTTGCTCACACTCTACCTGGTGGTAGTCAGCAAGATGGAGAACCCAGGTGTTCCTTTTAACAGATGCAGAAGACAGCCTGGTCAGAGCCAGCGTTTTGTGTAGCACAGCAGTAACAATCATAGACAACTACTTAAAAAAAATGAGCAGGATTGTTGACTTCTTGCCAGGAAGCTGCAAGCAGGCTACTCTCATCCCTGTGTAGATGGAATATTTCATCCTTCTAGAATTGGAAGGCAAAGCTCACCTGGGCTTTGATTTCCCTCCCTAAAAGATCCTCATTGGAATAAAGGGCCTAATGCAGCTCCATTGCTCTGATTGCTTGGCCTCTGGGGGCAAAAGGTCTAAGTGAAGGTGCATTTCCTGAATTCTTCACAACTTAATTATAGCCTGTGAGAATGTTCTTAATGATACTCAACTCGAGAGCTCTTAAAACAGGTTAAATGGTAAATTTTATGTTAAGTATATTTAATCACAACTCAAATGATTTAATAGTAGAATACCCACACTGCCTAGGGAATTAGCACACATGGGGATGGGTGTTTTATTTTGCTGAATTGTCAAGGCCTCAAGAAGCTGGACTTCATTAACTTCTCTTGACACCATTCCCCACACCCCTGCTGGATAACAGGGCAGCTGATCCAGGCTAAGGGAAGACTCGTATCCACCTTAGAAGAAAGCTTTCGGCTGGCATCACCCGATTGCTCAAAAGAGCATACTAACTGGGTGCCTCTGCCAGGGTCAGTACCAAAGGAAACACAGCCACTGAAGCTCGGCCACCTGAGCGGCCTTTCCAAGACCATCCCACTCAGACTGCTCTCAAACTTGCCCCGGAGTGGGCGGGGAGCTTCCGCACTCCACCTTGACCTTCATGGATAAGAAACTCTCTACTTTCCAAAATCACGTAGGCTAAGTTAGAGAATAGGGAACCTCCAAATTTCTAAGCACATCTCTGCCCTTGGGGAGAAATACACTGAAGCATCACTGTGTCCCCAGCAGGCAGCCTGATTACTTCCTGTGTGATAGAAGTGTATTTGGTTTCATTCTTCTTTAAAAAGTACTATTTTTCTCCTTAACACACAGTATTACTGACCATATGCATCCTTTCTGTACTGACACAGAAATTACAAGCTATGCAAGTTGATTAATCTGTAAATCCAAAATCTGAAAACTTTTGGGGGCAAGGAGCACTAAGACTTAGTATATTAACTAGAGATTGTATATATATAAGCAGTACATAAAATATTAATGTGTTTCGTGTTTAGAAATCGATTCCATCCCCTGAATTATGTACATGTAAATGTTCCAAAATCCTAAAACATCTAAAATTGAGAAATGACATCTATTCCAAAGGAGTCAGGTAAAGTGCCCCCATCCTGCCATTACCTATAGGATTCCCTGAAGATGCTGGCACTCTGTTTATGGATTGCAGCGCTATTAATGGCAGGCAATGATAGTCTAGCAAGAGGACACACACACTAAACCGTTCATCCGTGATGTGTAATTCCCATCCCCCAGCTTCTTTCTTCCTTACAGAAAGCATAGTCTGCTGTGGGGCCTCACACGAGAGCTGTGTGGACTCATGGCCAGGTTAAGGGTAGGAGATACTCTAGGGTCAATTAGTGTGTGTGTGTCGGGGCAGGGGACGGCGCTATGGTTCTTTTGTTTTGTTTTGTTTTTGAGATGGGGTATTACTGTGTAGCTCAGGCTGGTCTAGAACTCCTGTCGCTTAGAGTGACCTCCAAGTCATGATCCTCCCACCTTTGCCCATCAAGTGCAAAGATAAAAGCTTTGCCATCTTTCCCTGGGCTCTGCTGACTATGTTAATGCCCTGTAAAGGCAGAGAGAGGCACTACAGGAGACAGAGTTGCTTTAATTTTCTTTTTCGTCTTCCGAATAATTCATGTTTACTATATAAAAGTTCAGGTAAAATAACGCCCAAGGCATCCTAAGGTAACCATTTGGTACATTGTATTATCTTTTAACATTGTATGCATCTATTATTCTTTATAGCAACAAAATTAAATATGACTGGAGATGGTTGAAGTGTGTAGCGAAGCAGAAACATTTGGTGGTTTTCTTTGGCAACGTCTGCCAGACCAGGCAGTTCCTCTTGGCATGGGGAATCTTCTAGGGAGCACACAGAACTGGGTGATTCTTTGATGTGCTCAGGTTCAAGATTCAAGAGAGCATTACTCCCTGCACCAAGCCTGTGGTTCCTCAGCTCTTCAGTGAAATCCTTAATGACCTCCCCGGACCCCGACCAAAGTGCAGCTATGTCTGTAGCCTCTGACGCCTCCTAGTCTTCTAATTGTGTTACCTTCGTTTCTTGCAGATGGAGAGACAAATGTCGGTGAACTCCAGCATCATGGGCATGCAAGGCCCCAACCTCAGCAACCCCTGTGCTTCTCCCCAAGTCCAGCCAATGCATTCAGAAGCCAAAATGGTAAGAAAGAGCTTCCGTCATCTGTTCATTACATTGCTCGTGATTGTGATGTCGAGTTCTGGTCTGTTTCTAACCCTCAGTTAGGAGAGCGCTCCGTTCTTCGTTCTGGTGAATAGGGATTTCTCTGGAAAGGCGATTGAGAGGTTGACTTGGTCTTCTAGATATTTGATATAGGTTTCCTGCCTCAGATAATCATTTCCCAAGCTAGGTTTTAGCATTTGGTGTTAAAGAAAGGGTGTTGAGAAATTTGGGGAAGTACATAGGAGTTAGGGTAGAATATGCCCCACTATTTTTTTTATTTGCTCATTGTGTGAAATAACAAAATATTGTACAACTCTATAACCTAGCTACATCACTCATGTCACTCTTCTCATCCAATGTCATAAAACAGACTTTCAATTCCTACATGCCCACAGTTATAGGAAAGCTGTATTATTATTATTATTATTTATTTTGCATAGCTCTTATAACGTGACACTGGTTTGAAAGGATGGGAGTCTTCTTTTCTGGCCATCTGTGTGGCATGACCACACTTGACAACCTCCAGTGACTTTTAACCTCTGATGTTCAGGGGCAGTGTGGCCAGTCTTCCAAGATGGATCTGTGCGTCTATATTCTACTAGGTCTTAATAAAGGAGGTTCTTGTCTCTCAGCCATGTAGAGTTGAGTTTCTGACACGGTTTAGCCGAGTTACAGGAAGCAGCCACTCTCTCTGAATATAGTTATATTCCAACACCACAGTTCCCATCGGATGGCCGAAACGCCTTGCAACATGGCTCTTCTGTTCTTTCTCTTTTGTATCTGATGAGGATGGTACTCTCTAGAAGTGGGTGTGTATCTTGAATGCTGGTTGGCAGCATTGATGGTGTGTGACAATCGGTGTGACGATACTGTGGACCATTCTGAAAGTTATCTGTCATGTACGTGGGAGCGGAATCTGCCCTAATCCCTCCCCCAGCCTGCTTTGGGGAAACTAACCCATTTGACCTGTAATTTCTTGACCCCGAGAATCAACTGAACCCCAGTGCTGGCTCCCCTGGGCAAATGAAAACTGTGGTTGGGAGAGCTCTCTTTGCTCCACCACAGACCCTGTGATGTGCCAGATGGCACGGCGTCCGCAGCAAAGCTCGCTAAGTCTTTTTGGAATCGGCAAATATTTTTCAACTCACGCCCCACAGAGCCAAACCAAATACTTGCTGGCAAAATAAAGTTCAAACTGGCATCTGTTTTGGAGACCAAAGCAATGCCATCTACCGCTCCCCCTCCTTCTTAAAGGAAAATAAAAATGAACTATAAAGGTGCTTAAGAAGAAACAAAATTAAACTATTCGTACGTGTATGAGTAAATGTGTCTGCCGTCTTCTGTCCCCAGCTAAAGGATCCTGCAGTCTTCTTACTTGCTATGAGATTAGTGTCCTTCTTTCAGACCAACTAGAGACGAGATGTAAAATATGATTTCAAACCATGTATCCCTGACAATTGATTTTCGCTGGGTCTTAATGTCATTCTTCAACTAAAAAGAAAAAAAAAATCCCACCTCTTTTCTCGCTGCCAAATAAGGACAATGCTTCCAAAGGTGGCACAGGTCTATGGTTATTTATTCGCATGAACTGAATCACGTGATATGGCTAATTAGTTGTGAGTAATGTTAGCTGGGAACCAACGAGACTTGGTCTGTTCTTAAGAGAACGGTGTTACCCCACAAACGCTCCCTGACTTCAAGGCCCGGAGAGAGCACGCCACTCTGCTGATTCATGTTCTGAGTGAATAAACCTTTCCAGGCTGGTGAGATCTGGACTCATGAGCTGGATCTCAGCATCCGTGCCTGGGAAGCGCGGCTTTTCTCTTGGCTCCCAGCAGTTACCTCTGTTGCCCCTGTTATGACCAATACATTATTCCAAAGGGGAAAACAGCAGCGTTGGCCGCTAGTGTTTGGAAGAATAGCATCCACTGTGCCATAGCAGCTCGGAGAAGGGTCAGGTGGACTTCACCACATCAATCAGCATTTCTGTCCTGACTCTGCTCGCTTTGCTGATGGCTCACTCGGCTACTGCCATCTCTTAGCCGTACAGTATTTTCTACCAGCTTCGGGGCTGCACAGATGAAAAGACTTTAGGAAATACCAAGCAGTAAGAAAAAAAAAGTCTTCCACGATTTTAATGTCAGATAGAGCCTCCCCAGGTTTCTCTGAACTACGGGCTTTGTTGTTCTTTGCCTAATTTTCTTCCTGTGTGAGACTGGAATGGATTCCAGATTTCAATGGAGACTCTTGTTTCACTGTTTTCAAGGACTTTTCCTAAGGTCACCCGGGGGCCTTTGTGATGCTTGTCCTCCACAGGGTGTGTTCTCAGAGCACACTAGCAACCAGCTACAAGGAGGAGCTGCCCCCGCCTCAGCCCTGCAGCCCAACTCTCCCCAGTGCTGCTGTGTCAGAGGGTTCATTTCAGATTCCCCAGAAGCTCCCGACAAAAGCCACCAACTTGAGTTTGGAGGTGGACAAAATTTCAAGGTGGGGCTTATTTCAATGCACGACTTTGCTAGAGGCTCGCTGACCGGGAATTGCTCTTTAGAATGTGTCTGCTTCCCTTCCTGGACAACATCATCCCTTCTCTGGTGAGAGAAAAACCTGGGGTTCTTACCAGACTCAGAAGTGCACTAACCTGGGACCTCTTAGCTAAGGAGCATGCATGCTCATCTTTGATTTATTGTACCTACCTTTATCGTAGTGCTTACTGGTTATTGGTTAAAAGTTGTATAGATTCTTAGCTGGTGCTGAGCTGGCTGTACATCTGTACACATATTGGCTTCCACTCGGGGCTCATGAACAGACTAAAGTCACTGTCCTCAGGGAGGGACAGGCTTTCTCTGTATAGTCCTGGCTGCCCTCGAACTCAGAGATCCGCCTGTCTCTGCCTGCTGAGTGCTGAGATTAAAGGCATGTGCCACCACCACCCAGCCTGTTGTAATAGGAGCGGCGGGCTACTTTCCCGACACCTGGCCGCCTGCAAGGCTAGCTTTACACCTGAAATAATTACACAGAAACTGTATTCTTTTAAACACTGCCTGGCCCATTAGTTTCAGCCTCTTCTTGGCTAGCTCTTACATATTGACCTAACCCATTTCTAATAATCTGTGTAGCCCACGAGGTGGCTTACCAGGGAAGATCTTAACCTGCATCTGCCTGGAGTGGGAGAATCATGGCGACTCCCTGACTCAGCTTCTTTCTCCCAGCATTCTGTTCTGTCTACTCCGCCTATCTAATTTTTTGTCCTATGAGGGCCAAGGCAATTTCTTTATTAGTTAACCAATGAAAGCAACAGATAAGATACAAGACCCACCTCCATCACCAGCCTTTTTTTTTTTAATGTGTGTATGGGAATTTTTGCCTGAGTGTATGTCTGTGTATCTACCATTGAATCAGAAGAGGGTATTGGATACCCTGGAGCTGAAGTTAGGTGCAGTTGTGAGCTGCCCTGTAAGTTGCTGGGAATCAAACCTGGGACCTTTGTAAAAGGAGCAAGTACTCTTAACCACCAAGTCATATCTCTAGACGTGCCTCTCCCTCCCCCGCTGCCGCCTTTTCATCTTTCTAACCACCCTAAATTGTAAGATCTTCCTCAGATTCTAGGTTCTGGATTAAGTGACTCCCACAGTGTAGATGCTCTTTCAGATGAGCAGTGGCATAGGACAGACCATTCTCTAAGGTTCTGACTGCTCTGCTGTTTTTACCTTCAGTTTCAAAAGGTCTGTGAAGGCTGGAGAACATTGCTTCTAAGAGAAAAGCAGTGTATGGCTGTGTCTGACTCTGTCCCCAGAAAGCACATGACAGAAATATTGCCCCTACTTATTAGCCAAATGAAGAGATGTTTAAAAACTGGTTGAATGAAATTATTTAACAAAACTAGTCTCCAGTTTCAATGACAAAGATTTTTTGTTTTAATTTGTTTGACAGTGAGTCTCATGTAGCTAGCCAGCTGGCCTCAGGTTCTCTAGGTATCCTGGGTAGCCAGGGAGATGACCTTAAAGTTTGGGACTTCCTGTCTCCATTCACCCGAATACTAGGATTATAGATGAGTACCACCCTACCTGATTTATACCATGCTGGGAATTAAACCCAGGCCTGTGTGTATGCTATATAAATGCTACAACTCAGTGACAAAGCTTTTGATTATGACATTGAATTTGAGCTTAAAAACATGACAGAGCTAGAGATGTCAGTACCGTGGATGGAATCGTTCTTTTTAATGTACATTAATATGCAGATCATGGGGGCAACGTTAGTTTGAAGCTCCAGATCAACATGACAGAGTTAGAATATCCCCATTCATCCATCAAGAGCATGGTAGACTCCCTCACTGGTCCAGCTCTGCTCCTGCCTCTTCTCCAACACATTTTGTCTCCACTTTTCACAGCTTACAAGTACCTCTCGTCTCCCTCACTTGATTGGCTGGCAGCTCCTCAAAGAGAATCTCTGAACCATGGAGGCTTCTGGTACTGTAAAAGGTCCATGAATGAAAAGTGAATTTAACTAGGCTCTATCATGTGTGTTTTAAACCATGCAAGGAACCAATGCTACTAAGGAGATGCATGTGATGGAGCTGGTAGAAAATACGGGTAGGGCTGAGAAGGAGCGAATAAAACTAGATTGATTCTGGCTAAGAGAGAAACTGGTGAAGAATAGCCGGTGACATTTCATTTTTTTTTTTTGGAAGATAGCTCAAACATGCCCATCATGTTTTTCCTGGAGAGAAAAGCAGTCCATTTGTCCTTTAGAAAACAGAAGCTGGAATGTCATTCCTCTCCTAGGAATTGAAGGCGATCAATAGCCAACGATGTTTCTTCCACTTCGATGGCCTGGTCATGCTTGATTTCAGTCTTTCAGATGAAGTCATTAAGATTGCCAATACTTCATCTATAGGGGTGTTGGCAGCTAATTGAATAAATGCTTGAGTATGTGCGTGTGTGGATGAACACAGAAATAAAAGACTAGATGAGTAAGAC